TTTTTTTTTTTTTACTGTTCACTGAATGTTTTAGTGTATGTTGCTTTTATAATCATTATATTTCAGTATATTTTAAGGGTATGTTGCTTTTATAATCATTATATTTCAATATATGCTCAATATATTTTCAGTGTACGTTGCGTTTATAGACATTCTATTTTTCATAGTGGAACAACATAAACTGTAAATATGATGAGTTATTGATGTAAATAAAAATGAAACAAAAAACATTAATATAAATATCGAAAAACATCATAAACTAACTATATATATCAAATATAAACTGTAAGTAAACATCAAATAAACATTGAAAACATATCCGATCGAAACTATCTGCATGTCGAATACTCGAATACTCCACCACAAACGACGGCCGACCAGGATTCCGAATCATATACTGTACATATATTGTACAACTCGGGAGCTAGGACGTATGTCATATACTGTACATATACTGTACAACTCGGGAGGACGCATGTCATATACTGTACATATACTGTACATATACTCCAATCCAATGTCTAAGAATTTCAACATAATGACTAATCTACACACAGTCCAAAACCATAAAAAAATTGAAGCAAAATTTAAATTTCCTGCAACCTACCAATCATCTCCCCCGATTGTGGCGACGTCGAAACCCTCTTTAGAGGACGCCGTCGCCGGCAGTAATTGAGGAAATCATGCTCCAGAATATATTCATCTTCTCTCTCGTCGACTCCATGGAAAAAGATCCTCGCATCGCCTACATGTAGATGACGACTGCGAGGAAGACTCGGTAGATGATCTCGTCGAGAGAGTAGGACTCGGTGGAGGACGGCGTTGAAGGGGACGTATTTGGCGGATTCGGGCGTGGCGGTAGGACTTATGCGAAGAAGATAGAGAGAGTGTCGTGTGTGAAGAAGAGAGAGCGGGGGGAGGGGAGAGGAGAGAGGCGTAGTTGATGGAAGTTACCATCTAAATAGAAAATCAATTTTTGGAAACCGATAGACTCTCATTTATTCCTCTATTATCTAGTAACAATACCATAGTAAGTATGAAAAACAGATTTTTAGGCATATATGGAAATAAAATTAACAAATTTAGTTAGTTTGTAAATAATTATATATAGGATGTAATTCTTTAATATGTTCATATTATTTAAGTTGAGGTGCAAATTCCTCAAAATTTATATGACTCCAATTATGCCAAGATTAATTCAACAAACAAGGGCTGAATATCTAACACATTTTGGCCGGTTTTTACACAAAAAAATGGGGCTAAAAATAATATCATGATAGGTCCTAGAAAAGACAACTAAACTGGCTGAAATAATTTTCAAAAACGTGCTGAGTATCAAACACAAGACTCGCTTGGAAACGGCTAGAAAATACGACGCGATTGAACAAGGATTTTTGAACGATTAATAGATTGGCGAAGTAAATAAAATTTGAAATAATTTATGTAGACGAGGACATCTACACAAATTATTTAACTTATTAGATGTTGGAAAATTCAGTTATAAAACTTGGGTTTGACCCGGTTTTGACTGAATTTTTTATGGCTAAATA